ATTCGATTCTCTTTCTCATATCATTGGATTAGTGCTCGGAAAGGAAAATGTGATCAACTGTGTCCGATTCTGTAGACAGCTTGAGAAGGGCAATTCACCGTAGCTGGTCAGATAAGATTTCATTTGTGACTGCTATTTTTGTTATTATGGTAGTGGTGGAAAACTGATTGGAGGGATTCAAACAAATTCCAGGAAAAATGGGCTTCCAATAATCCTCTCTGGTTATCAAAACCAGGTTAGAATAGCTTGGTCAAGATGGAATCTAATATTCAAGTTACAGTAGCATTTTTGCAATGAATGGAAACCTTAAATGAACTAATCCTAACTAGGAGTGTATTTGATATTCAGCCCAAACCTGAATCATGATTTATATCAATCTCAGAACACACAGGAATCTTGAGGTGGGTGAGAAAATTTTGATTTTTAAGAAAAAGTTGATATTAAACCTTTTCTTACATAATGAACTTTTATTCTAAAGTAACTTCAGGAAGGATGAAATTGGCTGCATTAAAGCTAAGTCCTAATGAAGGATTACACTCAAACAGCAGCCTGTTGTTTACTGTATTATAGATGTAGTCACACTTTTTTTTTCTTTTTTTTTCCATGCAATGTGGTCATTGCTGGAATTTGTCACTGTAATTGCCCTTAAACTGAGTGGCTTGCTAAGCCATTTCAGAGGGCAGTTAAGAGTCAACCGCATTGCTTTTGTTTGGAAGTGACGTAGCGCTGTGAATGATTTTTACAAAAAAAAACCAAAATTTTCTCACTCGCCTCAAGATTACTGTGTGTTCTGAGATTGATATAAATCATGATTCAGGGTTTGGATTGAATATCAAATACCCTCCTGGTTAAGATTATTTCATTTAAGGTGTCCATTCATTGCAAAAATGCTGGTAAAGCTTGAACACTAGACCCAGGAAAAGATATGGATTTCCCTCTCTGAATGGCATTAGCGAATCAGAAGCAATCATGACATTGTGTTTTGAGGCTTTCTACCCCCAGTACAGTATTAAGACATTAAGACATTGAGTCATGAGTAAATCCCATATGTTTTGCTAATAGTCACCATTACTGAGACTAGATTTTTATTCCAAATTTATTAATTAAATTCAAATTCAACCAGTTTCCATTAACCCATTTAAACACCTAGAACTTTAACCTGGGTCTCTGGATTCCTAGCTCTTTGACATTATCATGAGGCTATCATCTCCCCACAATGCATTATAAATATCAAGATTTTACAATTTGGGCGGATTAATTAACTGTTGATTAAAGTACCGAAAGTGTTTAACATAACAGTTATAATGGTACAGTAGAAATTGGGTCTTTTTCACTGGAGTCAAAGATTAGAAGATGACTTGATGTATATGATATTGCATTAGTTCATGGTCAGTACAATAGTGACCCATTATTTGCGCTAATCACTGAGATTTCAATGAATTGACATATTTCACTTAGGAAAGTTAATTTGCATACAGTGTTTAGAATTTAGACTGCATAGGTCTGAGCTTGGGACAGTGATTTCTACATAAAGGTATTGAATTGTTCTCTAAATTATTGAATTTTATTGGTCTCCTGCAAAAATGCCAAGGTAGTTTCAGTTTCATAAACAAATTTGTTACTAATTCCACAAAATTTATCTTTAAAACAGCATCTTCCGTGAAGTTGTGTAAAGTGGACTCCTGAACATCTAATAATAACTCAATGGTTTAGTTAGCCTTTGCCAATGATGTTTGAATAACCTCATTGAATCATACAGTAGAGAAGAGGTCTTTAGACCATGGAGTCTGTACTACCAAAAATATACTACCATAGTCCCACTTTCCCCCACTTGGTAGATAGCCTTGAATGTTATGATATTCCAAGTACTTTTTTAAAGGTTGTGAGGTTTCCTGCCTCAACTACCCTCCTTGGCAGTGCATGCTAGGCATCCTCCACCCTCTGAGTTTAAAAAAAGGTTTTCTCACATCCCCTCTAAACCTCTTGCCTTTTGCTTAAAGAAAGTTATGCGGCCTTGTTATTGACCCTTCACCTAGGGGAAGCAGCTGCTTTCCATTCATCCTGTCCATGTCCCTTATAATCTTATAAACTGCTATCAGGCCTAACCTCCATCTCTTCTACTCCAAAGAAAACAGCCCAAGTTTATCCTGCCTCTCTTTGTAGCCAAAGTGCTCCATCTCAGGCAAGATCCTAGTGAATCTCCTTTGCACCCTCTGCAATCACATTCCTCCTATAGTATGACTAGAATGGCACACAGTTCTCCAGCTGTGGCCTAACCAAGTTTTGCTGGTTAGAACGTAACCTCCCTGCTCTCATAATCTATACCATGACTGATTAAAGGCAAAGATCCCATTTACCTTCTTAACTACCCTATTAATCTGTCTTACCACCTTCGGAGATCTGGGAACAAGCATCCCAAGCTCCCTCTGTACCTCCTGATCTTCCTAGTGTATTACCATTCATCAATTACTCCCTTGTCTTGTTCCTTCTTCAAAAGTAATCATCTCACATTTATCAGAGTTCAATTCCATCTGCCCATGTGGCCTATCCATTTATGTCCTCCTGTAATCTAATACCTTCCTTCTCACTGACAAATACCTGGCCAGTTTTTGTTATTCACAAACTAACTTAGCATCTCCAAACGGCAGACCCTGCCGCTGCTGTAGCCTTAATTTTCATCTATATTATTTGGGAATTTTGCAAACAACAAGGGACTTAAGACTGACCCTTGTGGTATGCCATTACACAGGGCTCCGGTCACACAACAGCCTTTTATCACCACCTGCTGTTTTGTCACTAAGTCGATTTTGGATCCAACTTGCAAGTTGACCTGTATCCTGTGAAATGTTGCCTTTTTTCTATAAGTTTCCCATGTGGGACCTTGTCAAAGGCCTTGCCGACGTCTAAATAAAACTTCAACTCCCTACCCTCATTCAAATACTTGATCATGTCCTCAAAAAAATTTCACCATGTTTGTTGGGCATGACCTCCCTCTGGCAAAGCCATGCTGACTATCCCTGATTAAACCTTATCTCTAAATGGAGATTAATGTATCCTTTGCTATTTTCTCCAATAGTTTCCCTACCACTGATGTTAGACTCACTGGTCTGTAGTTCCTTAGTCTAACTCTACCAACCTTTTTGTAAAGTGGAACCATATTAGCTGACCACCAGTTTTCTGAGACCTCCCCTGTGGCCAAAGACAATCTGAAAGCTTGGGTCAGGGCTCTCATAATTTTCTCCCTTGACTCTTGATCAAGTAAATTCTAACCTTGTAATGGCATTTTTAAAAATATTGGCTAATTGACCATTCTTCAAAATAGTGATCTAAAGATGGAAGTGGTGTTTATTTTTAAGTTGTTCATGGGATGGTTTTGCTGCTTGGGACAGCATTTATTGCCTACCCTTAGTTGCCCTGATGTCCACTAGGTTTAGTTGGTATAGGTGCACTCACTGTTGTTAGAGAGGCAGATTCAGATTTTAACTTGTATCACCATTCTTTCAGTGACATTTCCATGTCAAGTTAGTGAATGGCTTGGAGAGGAACTTGCACTAGGTGTTTTCTCCATGTATCTTCCAGCCTTCTTCTAGATGGTGATTGTAGGTCTACGCCTTGGTGAATTTCTGCAGCTCATCTTGTAGAGAGTGAACACTGCTCCTACTGAACATCAATGGTGGAGGGAGTGAATGTTTATGAATATGATGCCAGTCATGTAGGTTGCTTTGTCCTGGATGATGTTGAGCTGCTTGTGTTGTTGGAGCTGCACTAATCCAGGCAAGTGGAGAGCATTCCATCGTACTCCTGACTTGTGGTTCATGGATGAGTGGACAAACTTTGGGGAGTGAGGAGGCAGGGTATTCTCTGCATAATTCCTATCTTCTGGCCAACTGTTGTAACACTATTTCAAGGGTTAGGCTCTCTTTTGATAGAAATGGTTATTGGCTGACACTTTTTGTGTTATGAATGTTACTTGCCACTTCTCAGCCCAAGCGAGGACATTATCCAGGCATTGCTCAGATCTGGGTTTTAAAAAATTATCTGTGGTATACTGCTGTTCTTGTTTTCAATGGAATCGTTCCATTGAGGCTCTGGTGTGAGTAATTATGGATGGAATCCCACCTATATTGTTATCTATAGAATTAGTGAAAAGTTGGAAGAAGGAAGGTGTTGAGGGAAAGTAACAGTAAATGGTCTAAAGATTGTCCTGTGTCTCTGGAATATGGTCCAAGGACTATAGGAAGAAAAGGGGTCTATTAACCTCTGCTGCAAAAGAAAGTTGAAGTTTGGATCTTGGGTGAGGTTGAGATTTTTAGAAGCATCGAATCTCTACAGTGTAGAAGCACCATTTGGCTCATTGAGTCCACACCACCCCTCAGAGCATTCCACCCCCTATCCTATACCTGCATTTCCCGCCCTAGACACTATGGGTAATTGCGCATATCCAATCCACCTAACCTGTACATCTTTGGACTGTGGGAGGACACCGGAGCACCCGCGGGAAACCCACGCAGACACAGGGAGAATGTGCAAACTCCACATAGATTCCAAGACTGGAATCAAACCCAGGGCCCTGGCATTGTGCGGCAACAGTGCTAACCACTGAGCCACCATGCTGCCTGAATTGGCTGTGATTCCCATCATATGTGTTCAATCTAAGGGTGGCAATGGTATTATCACTGGACTGTTAATTTGGAGACCCAGATAATGTTCGGGGCCCTCTCGGCAATTCGGGATGGGCAATAAATGCTGCCTAGCCAGTGACGCCCTCATCCTGTAAATGAATAAAGAAAAAGAAATGATGGTGGCTTGGCCAAAATGCTGGTGATTGACGTTTGTGGTATCATCCTCTAGCAAGGTTCAGCACTTGTAGATAGAAAACAATCAGGGTCAAATGAAGTCGTACTTCTCAATTTTGAATTTTGTATTTAGTGGCCTGGAAATGCAAAGGAGCTTACATTTTGACAATGGAGCTCAACTCTTTGTGGTTGGTTATATCTCAGGATTTGCTGGAACGTTTGAAATGACAGAAACACTGGATGAATGAAAAGACCGCTAAGTGAAACCTAAGCATGGCAGGATTACAGCTCATGACGCCTGCTTCATCACCAATGGGTCCCTTTTTTGGACTGCCGTGGCAACAGGAAGCTATCCATGATAACATTTTTACACCAAGGAAATATCAGGTACGTGTTGTATGGAAAATGGTATCAAGAAATAGGTATTATACGAACAAAAACAGAAATTGCTGGAGAAACTCAGCAAGTCTGGCAGCAACTGTGGGATGAAAGCAGAGTTACATTTTGAGTCCAGTGACTACTTATCAGAACTGTAAGTAGTTAGAAAAAAATGCTGGTAATTATACTGAAGCCAAAGTGTTTGTGGGGAAGGAGTGGTGGGAGAGCAGATTGGTGAAGTGGAGTCCAGGGAGAGAGAAATATGAAAGGGGTAGGTAAACGAGGACATTCTGTCCTGGCCTGCTAAATGTAAGAAAAGCTGAATAAGAGATAAGAGTAAGAAAATAGGTGAGCTGTGCCGAATGTAACCTATACCATGTGATAATGGGCTTAAGTGTCTGTGAGAATGGGTGACTGTGCTAAAAGCACCCCATATCATAACAACTGGCTGTAATGTGGACAAAAAAACACTTAAAAGATGAAATCAGGCTCTAAAGTTATTGAATTCAATGTTGAGTTCTGTGCATTGAAAGCTCCAATTACATCTATCTAATGTTGTATTAGTTGTCATTGTCGGGAATTGCTCACAAACAAATATGATTGTCAACCTAGGGAACTCTGCGTCACTAGTCATGGGTTCTGAGAGTCCTTGTGTGGCTAATGTGCCCAAAGCTAGAGCTGCATCTCCCACCGCACATTTAGCAGGTGCTTCCATGAGGTGGAAATTGAGGTTGGCCTTGAGATTGCTGGTTGTACTGATTAACTATAAATAGGAATTGTTTTTTAATGCATTAAGCAAGACAAAATGAAATTTTAAAATATCTAAGCTTATCCACAGGAATGTGCTATTTTAATCCAAGTTATTTCCTGTCTCTGGGATTCCAGGTACAATCTGGCATGCTGCTCTTCAAGCAACAATGTCAAATTTGCAGTAGTCCCTTATCATGGATTTCTGTTGCCATGATTTACACTTAATGTTACTTGTTTATTTTGGGTATTGGTACTTGTATACTATTGGCAAAATTGGAAGTTGTACTGTGTGTTGATCCACACTTCATATTTTTTTCCATCACCACCAGTACTGATCCCAAACTAGGCCGGAAAATTCATTCTAGGCTCTTGTTCCTGGCTCAGCATCTAGCGGCCTCTGCTGGAAAGTGTATCTGTCTCAGCATTGTTTTAGAAATTGGCTCAGCTGTGAAGCCCACTATGATTAAAAAGTCACTGCAGGAGCTGTCAAGGCTCTTGCTGAAAAGTGCAGTTTTGTTCAATTAGTGCCACTCAGCCTGTATATTTTTTTAACTACAGTAAAGGATAGAAAGAAAGTGTCAATGTTTTATCAGTTTTTAAAAAAACTTTTTTTATTTGCAGGTTGAACTTCTAGAAGCAGCTTTGGAACATAATACTATAGTTTGTTTAAATACTGGCTCAGGGAAGACTTTCATTGCAGTGCTACTTACAAAGGAACTATCTCATCAGATCAGGGGACAATTCAACAAGAATGGGACGCAGACTGTGCTTTTGGTTAGTTCCGGTAAGTACCTTTTTGTTTTACTTGTTTGAGTGCAGCAGGTAATCAGGAAGGGCTAATGGAATGTAGGCCCTTATTTCAAGGGGGTTGAAGTATAAGAGTGGGGAAGTGTTGCTGCAACTGTACAAGGTGCTGATGAGACCACATCAGGAGTAGTGTGAGCAGTTTTAGTCACCTTAAGTAAAGATAACATTTCATTGGAGGCAGTTCAGAAAAGCTTCTGAAAAAGAATGATCCTGGGTACAGAGAGATTGTCTTATGAGCAAAGGCTAAACAGTTTGGGAACTTGCTGAAATTTGGAAGAATGAAAGGTGATCTCATAGAAACATATAGGATTCTTAAAGGGCTTACAGGTTAGATTCTGAGAGGACGCTTCTCCTCATAGGATGAGGCTAGGACCAGTGAGTATATTAAGGGGGTGCCAATTTAACATTAAGGTGAGGAACTATTTCTTCTGAAGGTTGAATCTTTGAAACTTCTTGCCAGAGAGAGCTTTTGGGCAAGAATCATTGTGTATATTTAAGACTGAGATATATTCTTGATCAGTCAGGAATTAAGAGTGTCACGTGATCCTATCAAATGGCACAGCAGGCTCGAGAGCCGAACAGAACAGGAGTAGGTCTATGTCTTGTAGTTTTATGGATGTGAGCATTACTGGGTTGGTCAGTGTTGCTTGCCCGTCTCTTGTTGCCTGTAGAAAATTGTGGTATGCCTTTTTCTGAAGTATAGGGACACCCACAGTGCTGTTTGGAAGAGTTCTAGAATCTTGGCTCCACGTCAGCTACAAAATAGTAATATAGTATGCAGCTTGAGGGGAACTTGCAGGTAGATAGTGGTGTTCTCGTGCTTCTGGTGTTTCTTCCGTCTAGGTATTAGGGCGACGACAGGAGTTACTTGCTTCAGATCTGGTCTTGTAGCCGCAATATTTATATGGCTGATCCAGTTCAGTTCTGGTCAGTGGCAATTCCATCAGGATGCTGTTAGTGGAGGATTCAGTGATTGTAATGCCATTGAATGTCAAATGGTGTTGATTAGATTCTGTCTTGTGGGAAATAGTCAGTGCCTAGTACATGTGAGATGCAAATGTTATTTGCTATTTGACAGCCAAACCTGAGTCTACTCCAAGTCTTACTGCATGTTTTTCTTCATTCATTCATGCAACATGGGCATCACTGGCTGACCAAACTTTTTATAGTCCATCCCTAGTTGCCCTTGAGAAGGTAGTGGTGAGTTGCCTTGAACCGTTGCAGTCCACATGCTGTAGGTAGACCCAGAATGCTCTTGAGACAATTCCAGATTTTGACCCAGCAACAATGTTATATTTCCAAGTCAGGACGGTGAGTGGCTTGGAGGGAAATTTGCAGTTGGTGGTGTTCCAAGTATCTGCTGCCCATGTCTTTCAGGATGGAATTAGTCATGGGCTTGGAAAGTGCTGTTTTGTAGACAATATTAGTTGGCAGGATGAAGGTGTCACTGGCTAGCCAGCATTCGTTGCCCGTTCCTATTTGCCCAGAGGGGAATAAGAGTCAACCATGTTGTGGGCCTGGAGTCACATGTAGGCCAGACCAGGTAAGGATGGCAGTTTCCTTCCCTGAAGGACCTTAATAAACCAGATGGGTTTTTTCAACAATAAACAATGGATCACTGGTCATCATTAGGATCTTAATTCTAGATTTCTTTTATTGAATTGAAGCTACACCATCTGCCGTGGCAAGATTCAAGCCTTGTCCCCAGAATGTTGGCTAAGTCTCTGGACTAACAGTCCAGGAATAATACCACTATGCTATTGCCTCCCCTGTGGGAAGTTATGTACAAATTTGGGAAGCAACAATCCTATCCTCTGACCTGCCTGGATGTCAAATGCTGTCATCCTCCTCCTGTGGAATTTAGCTCTTTAGTTCAAATATGGACATATTATCGCTGGACTATTAATCCAGAGACCTGGATAACATTCTGGGGACCCAGGTTCAAATCCCGCCACATGGCAGATGGTGGAATTTGAATTCAATAAAAATACCTGGAATTAAGAATCTGATGATGACCATGAATCCATTGTCAATTGTTGGAAAAACCTGATGAAGGGTCGAGGCCCGAAACGTCAGCCTCTCTGCTCCTATGATGCTGCTTGGCCTGCTGTGTTCATCCAGCCCTGCACCTTGTTGTCTCGGATTCTCCAGCATCTGCAGTTCCTACTATCTCTGGTTGGAAAAACCTGCCTGGTTTTTAGGGAAGGAAACTGTCATCCTTACTTGGTCTGGCCTGCATGTGACTCCAGACCCACAGCAATGTGGTTGACTCTGAACTGCCCTCTGGGCAATTAGGGACGGACAATAAATGCTGCCTAGCCAGCAACGTCCTCATTCTGTAAATGAATAGAGAAAAAAAAGTCTAGCTTTTGGACTCAACCAGCTCAATCAGTAGTCCTTCTGCGGAGCCTTTTTTTGTGGTGGACATTGAAATCGCCCATGAAAACCGAAGGAACTGTGGATGCTGTTAATCAGGAACAAAAACAGAATTTGCTGGGAAAGCTCAGCAGGTCTGGCAGCATCTGTGAAGAAGAAAAAGTCAGTGTCACTGGGCCTGAAATGTTGACTCTGATTTTTTTTTCTTCACAGATACTGCCAGACCTGCTGAGCTTTTCCAGCAACTTCTGTTATTGAAATTCCCGCCGCAGAGTGCATTTTGCACCCTATCACACTCTCTAGGCTTCCATCAAGTGTTGCTCAACATGGAGTACTGACTCATCAGCTGAGGGAGGACAGTATGCTGTAAATCAGCAGGACGTTTCCTTACCCACATTTAACCTGGTGCTATGACACTTCATTGGGTCTAGGCTCTATGTTGAGGACTCCCAGGGCAACTGTTTCTGCAGTATCTGTGGAATTGTGAATAGTACCGAACATTGTGCAACCATGGGGAGGCAAGGGCCTAGTGGTATTATCGCTAGACTATTAGTCCAGAAACTCAGCTTGTCCCCTCGGGACCAGCGTTCAAATCCATGGCAGATAGTGGAATTTGAATTCAATAAAGAATCTAGACGTAAGAATCTAATGATGGCCATGAATCCATTGTCAATGGTCAGGAAAAACCCATCTGGTTCACTAATGTCCTTTAGGGAAGGAAACTGCCATCCTTACCTCGTCTAGTCTGTGTGACTCCAGACCCACTGCAATGTGGTTGACTCCTAATTGCTCTCTGGGCAATTGGGATAGGGCAATAAATGTTAGCTTAGCCAGTGATGCCCACATCCCATGGGTGAATAAAGAAAATCAGTGAGCATCCCCATTTTTGCTCTTGTAATAGTGGCAAGGCCATTGAGATAGTCCATGAAGATGGTTGCATCTAGGGCACGACCATGAGGAACTCCTACAGTAATGTCCTGGGCGGAGTTAATTGACCTCCAGTAATCTCAACTGTCTGCCTTCCATGATAGGTATGATCCCAATCACCAAAGGATTTTCCATTGATTTCCCTTTGGCTACAGTTTTGCTGGGGCTCCTTGATGCCATACGCTGTTAAATACTATCTTTGTGTCAAGGACGGTCTTTCTCATCTTACCTCTAGGGTTCAGCAGTTTCATGCTCTAATGAGGTCAAGAACTGTGTGGCTCTGGCCAAACTCCTACTGAACCTCAGTGAGTGGGTTGTTCTTTTTCAAGGCCACATGCTAGCACTGTCACTTTGAGCAAGAATAGACTGGGCAGTAATTGTCTGGGTTGACTTTGTCCTGCATTTTATGTACCAAATATGTATTAGCAACTTATCATATTGTTAAGTAGATGCCATTGATGTAGCTGTGAATTGAAACAGTTTGGCCAGGGGCAAGACTGGTTCAGGAGCGTGCTTCTAAAGTACTGTTACCAGAATGTTGGTATGGCCCAAAACCTTTGTGTCTGCACTGCCTTCAACTTTTTTTTAATATCATGTAGAATTAATCAAACTGGCTGAAGACTGGCATCTATGATGCTGGGGCCTTCTGAAGGAAGTTGAGGTGGATAATCGACACGGCACTTCAGGCTAAAGCAGGATACTTCTGCTTTATCTTTTGCACTGGTGTGCTCAGCTCTACCATCATTGAGGTTGGGGTATTTGTGTCATCTCTACCTTTTAGTTGTTTCCCTGTCCACAACCATTCACGACAGGATGTGGCAGTACTGCAGAACTGATTTGTTGGTTGTGGGATCACTTGGCTCTGTCCATTGCATCCTCCTCCTGCTGCTGCTTGGCATGAAAATAGTACTTCATAGTAGTTTTGCCAGATTGACAGCTCATTTTCAGTTGTGCCTGATGCTGCTCGTTGCATGTCCTCCTGCACTCTTCATTGGACAAGGTTTGATTCTTTGAATGCTAATGGTAGAATGGGCTATGCCAGGCCATGAGATTATGTATTCTGGTCATACTGCATATACGGCAACAGTCATGATAACCACATAGAAATAAAATTTAGTGTTGTAGTCTCAATCCCTCTATTTCCAATTTCATAAGATCAACAACCTGTGTTTTCTCAAACAATACACATCAACTTCTGGACAAGGATTCTCGGGGCTGATTACTAACTAGGTAATTCCTGCTGGAAATGCTTGTGTATTGTTGATTTTCTTAGTGGATTAAACCCAGCTCACCAAATGAGCAGGTCAGCCTTACATATTTGTTGCTCAATAAAGGCTTTTTGGATACTGCAGCAATATGCAGCATTTCATTGCTGTACCAGCTTGGATATTGATGAAATAAAACCTAGCACCTTTATTTGGACTTTTTGGATGATGTATCCTTGGTGCAATCTCAACTGGAATAAGAAACCCTCATAGGACTGTATGTTAGCTGAGGCAGTTAGTTCAGGTGATTGATATGATTGTATACCTGGACACTTCTGTATTTAAATGGCATCATTTATGTTCAGAATGTAGTGGTTAAATTAAACATTATCTCTTCTAGCACCCTCTGTGGCTCAGCTAGCAGCAGCTGTCAAGACCCATTCAGACCTGAAGGTGGGAGAGTATTCCAATATGGAAAACATTGAGTCATGGGCAAGCAAAGAATGGAACAAAAGCTTCATTGGACAACAGGTATTTCAATGTAGTTTGAGGGTCTAGTTAGAGATCATAGTCCTGTTTTTCTGAGTTTTGTATGCCTTGATGTAAAATGCGTAAAGCCTGAAAATAAAGCTGTACTCTTCCTGGAGTTGTCACAACTGGTAAAGATTGTATCAAACTGCAAAATTCCCAATTTACCCTCCTGATAGACTCAGACTCAGATTCAGGTTGACAGAAAACATGGATCAGGTAGTTGGGGAGCCAATGGCCTAGTGGTATTATCGCTGGGCTGTTAATCCAGAGACCCAGATAATGTTCTGGGAACCTGGGTTCGAAATTCCTCCATCTGCCATGGTGGCTTTGAATTCAATAAAATATCTGGAATTAAGAATCTAATGAAGGTGAATCCATTGTCGATTGTCAGAAAAACCCATCTGGTCCACTAATGTCCTTTTAGGGAAGGAAACTGCCATCCTTACCTGGTCTGGCCTACATGTGACTCCGGACCCACAGCAATGTGGGTGACTCTGAACTGCCCTCAGGACAATTAGGGATGACCTTCTAAAATACCCTGTATACAAAGCAAAAAACAAACAGGAGGAGCTGTTCAGTGGAACAAGTCCTCATGATTACTTGGAAGAGTTCCTTTTGGTTTCCCTAATCCTTCAGTTCAATCTTTATCTTGTTTAGAGAAGTGCTCAGTTGGTTCATAAATGATAAAGTATGAGTTATTGATTTAAAGCAATGGCTTACAGCAACTGGTAGGGAAAAAAATAAACTGTCTTTTTTTCAGTCATTTTTACTACTGAGAGAGAGAGGAAAAAGAGACCATTCCCTTTCCAGAGGTCTGAGGGCTTCTGCCAGTGTTGTTCACACCCGTAAGATACTCAGAACACCCAGGAGCCAATCAGATTGCCATTGTCAGGCTGATGGCCTTTGACATCCACAAGTGGTCAAAATTCCACAAACCAATCAACAATCTGTAGCCGGCTGAATTTCATTTTATACAAGAATCCTGGAGCCAGGCCAACTCCTCTTGTGCCTCACCCCACAGCTTGTAAAGGAACAGTGTAAACCTGATTTACAGCGAGTTTCAGTCCAAAGATGTGCAGGTTAGGTGGTTTAGCCATGCTAAATTGCTCAGTGTCTAAGCTGTGCAGGCTAGGTGGAAATGCAGGATTACAAGGATAGGGATGGGGTGTGGGTCTGGATAGGATGCTGTTCGGACAGCCGATGTGGACTCAATGGGCTGAATGGCCTGTTTCGGCACTAGGGATTCCACGATTCTAGCTTGTTTTTAAAAGGTACAGTAGTTCCTTCCTTGGTCCATTTTTTGTAAATCAGTCCTTTCCCATATAGTCCACAATCAAAACTAAAGGAAAGCACAGATGCAATTTTTTAAATAAAGGCATAGCAATACTCTGTGTTAACTGGGTGAACAGATTATATTTTATGTAACATTTGTAGTGATTGTCCTTGTTTTTTCCTCTCCTGTTTTTGATTGTTATAGGTGCTAGTCATGACTTGCCACATCTTCTTGCACATCTTGAAAAGGGGCTACCTTTTCCTCTCCAAAATCAACCTTCTGGTGTTTGATGAATGCCACCTTGCAATTAAAGAACATCCCTATCAGGAGATTATGAAGGTATTATGTCTTACTGTCATTTAGCCAAGTCAGTTTGCCATAACATTCCACACTAGGAGTCAACACCAAATGTAGTCCTCGTGTGAAATGAAGTTAAAAATTTGGGGGGAAATGTCCAGTGCATGTAGCCATAGGTTGCTTCATTCATTTGTTATTTTATCGTCCTTTTATTGTTTTTATATTTGCTTTGAGAAAAGTTCTAATTTCTAAATTCAATATAAAATCTGTGTTAACTTGTAATTACAGCCTCTTGCCAGTGAGAAATGCTGGAAAGCTTAATTTAATTGTTAACACTGTTTTCGTTTCTGTGGAAATTGAGAACATGTATTTCTTGTCAGTCACGTGCACATCTCCTCTCTCAAGTGGCCTAACTTTGATTTTTGATATCTTTTCAAGATAATCCAAATTTGAGTATTTCTCCCTTCTCCCTTCAACTCCGCCCCGCCCACCTCCAAAAAATTGAGTTTGATTAGTTAAATGCAGCTGTTTTCTCATGCTACCTGTCAACTATGTCAATGTGTTTGCTTGGACTCTAATGTTCTGACTGTACACATAAGATCATTTCTTCTGTACTTAAACCAAGGTACAAGCTTGTTAGTATGAAAGAAAGCATTTCCTTGTCTTTCAGTGAAATAGAAAACATGAATTTAAGAAATATGGCACTTTCAGTCTGCTTCACCATTCACTTGCCATTAATCTTTTAGTTGCTTTCCTGCCCTGAAAAAAATTAGAAAAATTGAGTAAAGTTAACTAGGTTGAAATCTCAACTTTTTGAGCTATTATGATGTAATGTTCTTTTTACTGTTATTCCTGAGGTTTCTCCATTCTGTTTGAGAGTTGAAGGTTCTAGCAGCTATGGTTTATTGATTTATTTTTTTTGTTTGTTTTTTGGAAAGATTAAATGTGGGGTGGCATCAGGAATCCCCACCATTTATAAATCACTTTTCTGTTTGTCTCTCAGGAACGTGTCTACTGTTTCTAAAAAGATGGGAAAATATTGAAAGTGTTTTCCATTATTATAAACAGTTTGTACTATGTCCTTTGACATTAACCCAAGCCAGATGGTACTTGAGATATTTCCTTATACAACTGCAAGACTGATGCACAAGGAACATTTATATTTGCCCTCTGTTGATGAGATCTATAGTTTGCAAGTTTGTTGAATGACTAGACTTTGAACAAGAGCCATTTGAGACTTGGTACATGACACATTGTAAAACACAACTTTTTGAGGGTCAGGGGCTACATCTTCCATTTTGTAATCTGTTACTAGAAAGCTGTTGCAATTTTTTTTGCCTCTTACAGCAGTCTTGATTTGGCTTAGGAAATCAGATTTTGTATCTAACAGGTCACATGAAAGGATCAGTTTTCTTAGCTCCCTACGTAATGTGCTTGTAATACATGAGTGTATTATTAAATGAAGTACTAAAATTGTCAAAGATCCCACAAGGTAAGTACCCTAATTACCAGCATTCTTCCAGTAGAGGCAAAACCCTGCCAAGCACTTTTGAGAGGATAGCTTCGCTTTTGCTTTGCTTGTACTCAAACAGACAGCTATCAGCTTAGCCAAGTGAATCTTGTGTACAAATTCTCAAGAGAGTGTGATGTTTATGTGCAGATCTGCCTGAATTTCGACAGAGTGCCATTGAGTACAGCTTCCTCTCCGACATGGTACCAATCGAAGGAGTATCATTTCAAATGTAACTGGCTCCCCCTGTGTGTCTGCTCACCTTGCCTAATATTAAAATTGATAACAGAAGTGAAGCAGCTGTTTCTCTTTTTCTTGCTGTCCACTTCACCTCCCTTTGGCATGATGCGAACAAGTCTTCAGACAAAAGCATTCATGACGGTTCCATTTGCCATTACTGCTTTTTGTTAAAGAGTGGAATTCATTTATGTTATTGAACTTGTCAGCTTGATTGATGTTTCTAACCCTGTGGGTGGAGAGGTTATGGAAGTATTTGCTGGAAATTTTATTGCTAAAATTGTAGCAACTTCTTTGTCTCCTCTGAGACATGAAATGTTTAAATTTGTGAAATGCCATCTTTGATCAGAAACACTTAACAGTAATCTCTAAGTAGTGAAAAATTGATTGTTTTGCTGCTGGCTTGGTCAGGTTGAACTCAAAATGGCTTTGTGCGCCACTCTAAATCAAACCTGCTTTTTACTCCTTTATTGATTTATGCTTTTTGTTCGTGTCTGAACAGATTCAAGATGCACCTAATATTTGTTTGTGCACTAAGAGCAAAAAATGCTGGCCATGCCAGCGATGCCCACATTTCATGAGTGAATTAAAGAAAAGGCCTTGGAAGGACCCTTGTTTAGACCATTGGCTGTGGAATTGTTTTACTGTTGGATAACCAAAGCTGCTATCGTTGTACGTCAGAATATGTATTCCTAATATCTCCATTGGCAGCCATTATTTGTCAAGGAATATCTTTGCTGTGTGATCATAGAGCTCTATAACAGTAAAAGGCCCTTTGACCCATCAAGTCTGCACTGTTCACAAGCAGCCACCTAACAATTATTAAAGGGAGGTGATGGCCTAGTGGTATTATCGCTGGACTGTTAATCCAGAGACCCAGATAATGTTCTGGGGACCCGGGTTCGAATCCCACCACAGCAGATGGTGGAATTTGAATTCAATAAATATCTGGAATTAAGAATCTAACAATGACCATGAATCCAACCGAATCAATAATGTCCCTTCAGGAGGGAAACTGCCATCTTTACCTGGTCTGGCCTACATGTGACTCCAGACCCACAGCAATGAATTTCACACTTTACTGCCCTCTGGGAAATTAAGAAATTATGGACAATAATTTCTGGTACAGCAGAAAATTCATGTTATCCAAACAGTGTCTACAATTCATCAATATTGTTACAGCCAATTCACGTTAACAAAACATGCATTATAACAGAACTACCTGTAGTTTTCCTGCCACCAAGGTTAGACTGACAGGCCTAGTTAATCCCTTGCTCCCTTCTCAAATGCCAGTACCACATTGGCTGTACTCCAGTCTTCTGGCACCTTTCCTATGGCCAGAAAGAAATTGAAAATTAGTGCCAATGCCCCAGCTTTTTCCCCCCCTCTTGTCTTTTTTAGCAACCTGAGATTTATCTACTAAGCTGCCGGACCACTCCATGAAACCATAAGAAACAGGAACAGGAGTAGGCCAAGCTTGCTCTGCCATTGAATAGGACATGACTGATCCTACATTCCTCATCTCCACTTCCCAACCCTTTTCCCATAACCCTTGTTTCCCCTACTGATTAAGAATCATTCTCAGCCTTAACTATACACAAGGACTCTGCCTACAGCTCCCCATGGCAAGGAGTTCCAAAGAGAGACAATCCTCTAAAAGAAGAAATTCAACCTCATCTTAGTCTTAATTGGCTGCCTTTTATTCTGAGACTGTGGCCCCTGGTCCCAGACTCTACCATGAGGGGAGACATGTCAAGTACTTTAGGAATCATAAACAAAAAAAACCCCAAGAACTGCAGATGCTGGAAATCCGAAACAAAGACAGAAATTGCTGGGAACACTCAAGCAGATCTGGCAGCATTTGTGGAGAGAAATCGGAGTTAACATTGCAGTCATTCTTCCCTTTTCTTTCTGTGTTTCAGTCTTTCTTTTCTTCCCTTCTCGTTCTTTCTTTCTTTTCTTCCCTTCTCGCTCGTTCGTTCTCTGCTTTCGTTTCTCTTCTCTGCTTTCGTTTCTCTTCTCTGCTTTCG